TCGAAACTGCGTTTTAAAGCCTTCAAAATGGGCTCAAAATACTATCAAAATGAAGAGAAAAGTGAGACGAATCCACTGGCATACGGCCGAAAACCAGAAAACCCAACAATTCCGAAGTTATCAAGGATCAAACGGACTGCATTTTTAATTAGTTTAGTAATTTTGAGCGATTTGTAAACAGTACAATTTCGCTTATTAAAACTGCACATTAAAAGCTTCAAAATATAATATTTTGGGCTCAAACTACTAACAAAATAAAGAGAAAAGTGAGACAAACCCACTGGTATACGGCCGAAAAAGAGAAAACCAACAATACGAAATTATCAAGGTCAAATGTATTGCACTTTTAATTTAGTTTAATAATTTTGAGCGATTTGTGAACAATTCGCTTGTCTTTCAAAGGCCATAAATCGCTAGAATACTGTAGTTTAGTAATACATTTGACATCTGTGAGTATAATTTCTTACACTGAATCGAACGGTGGTATTTTTGTCCTTATTGGGCGCATAAAACCAGAGATAAGACGCAGCAAAAAGTCAATCGTGAGAGTTCGAGTTGTAATTCGAAAGAAAACTTTCCTCGAAAAAAGGAATTCGGAAACCGTGAAGGATTATTTTGAGCGGCTTTTGTCTTTCAAAGGCGACAAATACCTAGAATAGAAGTCAATTTTGAAATCAATTTTCCATCCGTAAACACAACTTTTCACGCTGATTCGAACAGTGGTATTTTTGTCCTTGTTTGACGCATAAAACCAGAGATAAAACTGAGCAAACAGTCAATCATCATGAGAGTACACGATTAATAATAATTAATAAATTCCGAGCACGTGCAAGGAAGTTTTGGTACGCGATTAAGGAAACGTATTGATGCGAACAAACTAACAAACAAACAAACGGACAAACTCACAGGCAGAATATAATGCGGTGCCAAAAATGGCACGGGCACATCGGTGTCCTAACAGCTAACGACTTGATGTTTGCGGTTAGCGGTCTGGCGGAAACATCAATCATCACTTCTCTAATGTTTTGGTTTTAAGATTTTTCTCGCGTTGATTGGTTTATAGAAAGACACTCTAAAAGGGCCGTAAAGACACTCTCTGTAAGTGTGTGAGGCCTTCTTTGACCCCAAGTTAGTGCTTCCCTTGTGACATCATATACTGCTAGGAAAATAAATCAAAATAATACTTTAATATTCTTGTATTTCAAACGCCATACGCAGATTCGCAGAATATCCGTCAATGACAATTTGTTAATAATGTAGCAGGTTTCCTCATTAGGAGTGGAAGTTTATCAGTATAAAATGAAAATCCCATCTGCTTATTACATTTGCAGTACTCCTCGCAGTATACGATGTCACATTCTCTGGCATTCGCCTTTCGGATGTTTATCGACCTTAGTGAGTCCTAGTCTATCAAGATATGGTCTGCAAACCCGGTAAACATCCGAAAGGCGAATGCCAGAGAATAGATCTAGAAGACCTTTGTTTGAGGTTGAAATGCACCTCGCTGTGCACAAATCCTTTGTTTCAACTTCATTAAATAGTACTTAATTATGGTGGCAGGTTCAATTTACTTCGGCTATCCTCCTCCTCCACAGGCGTTTTGAAAACGTCCGCAAATCCCTCCTAAATTCTTGCGCCCGCACGGAGTTAGTAAATAACAAAACGTCTGTGGAAGAGGTGGTCGAAAATACAACGAGCTCTGCTCAAACACCGTGACGGCCGTGCACAAATTAACATAAACTCAGACAAAAACATAGCCTACGTTTTTGAATAAATGGCCATTTATTCAAAAATCCCCAAAAGTCAAAACCTCTAATAAACTGATAAAGCGACTGCTACGCAGGCTAACAAAAACATAACACAATGATTTGTTTTATAGTATACAGACCATCATACTGTAATTATTTGTTTGATATTTGTATGAAAAAGTAAACATTTTATTTTCATTTACAAGTCTGGTTTGGCATCATGATTAAAACACAGCTGTAATACGTATTTACATGTTGGTGTATCATCATATATATATATATCTTTTATAGTGATTTTAAAAACCGAGAAGTGTGTTGAAAAACGAGACTGCCGCCAAGTTTTTAATTTTTTCAACAGCTGTGTGCATTAATTGATATCTTAAAGGAACGATATTTTTCAGACGACTTGGTAAAAACGTGAGTTTTGAAATAAATGCGATTTATCATGAAGAACCGAGAACGAGGATGCAGTCTCAGTACTGTGCTAACTAGTTGGGGCTGCACGTGTGCTTCGATTGATCAACATCAGCCATTGTTAGGGGCCGATTACATGCAGCATTTTCAACCCCGGGGTTGAACTCAGCCCTGTTTACCGGGTTGAAATTTCAGCCCTGTCTGTAATACAAAACTCTATCAAAATTTACATGACAAAATTTTCAACCCAGGGCTGAGATAGCAGGGTTGAAATTTCAACCCCGGGGTTGACCTCAGCCCTGGGTTGAAAATTTTGTCATGTAATCGTTTCAACCCAGAGTTATTCGAGCATGCGTGGTAGTGACTATTTATTACAAGAAAACAAAATAAAGGCTTTTTACTTCCGCGATTAATCGATGCCGAGGATGTATAGTATAACGTTTTAACCCCGGGGTTAAAATCGTCCATGTAATCGCAAAAAATTTCAACCCGGTTAACAGGGCTGAGTTCAACCCTGGGGTTGAAAATGCTCCATGTAACGGCCCCTTAATCTGCTTACCTTTTTGTAGACTTCTGCGTCTTAGTGGACATGTGATCGCATAACAACGTTCCATGCTAATGAGTGCAAGATGTAGAATGGAAGCAACGCCAAAATACATGTCTAACGAATTAAGCACCAAATTAAGTTTCTCCAGATACTTCTGTTCAAAGGCGTCGTCGTATACGGCGTACATATACATAGGAATATTGAGTAGGCCAACAAATAGGTCGGCAATAGCCAGTGACGTGATACAAATGTTCGGTATAGTTCTGAGACGAATATGCCGACATACAGCCTCAATGACAAAAAGATTACCCAGCACGACGATGACCAGAATAATTACCAACAGAACTTCCACAAGAATAACAAATGCAGATTCAGTCATATTTGTGTTCAATTATGTCCTCGTAGACGTAGCGCAGACAGACAAATCCACAATCACTCACACCTTTCCGATTTAATATTCCTGTGAATAACAAATGTTTGTAATGATGACGATGTTATCTCAAATTCTCAATGAACTAATTCTGTCTATCATTTCCATATACTGAGAATTGTGACAAGTTGACAACACAAAGGCATTTTAAAATTCAAGGCAAAATCTGCAGCATATATAGACTGTAGTCAAAAGCCAGCAAATTAAACACGTTGCGTTTATACGTCAGAGTCGAGTTTAATCCAGTCTTTTCGATAGACCATAAATTTGTTCCGAACGAAGAAAGCGTGACATTAATTACTCCTGAATGAGTCAGAGTATACAATTTGACAACCTTTATATATATTTTTAGAACAACACATTGGCAAGAGTGGAATTGAAAATGCCAATGTTGAAAATTGACTGTGAATGGTGAATAAGGTTAATCTTATTAGAACTGTAGATTCCTGGCGTTTGAAACGCAGTGGTGCAGACTCGAATTTCACAAACTGTCATTTTTCTAGAAGATCTATAAACATTAATTAAACAGTCTTGGTTTCATTATGCTACGAAATTGATTTTATGAACGATGTACTCAAACTATATCTTTTTAATATTGGCGGTTGAACAGATAAAATCGATTGATAAAAAATCGATTCAAGAATTTTCATGTCCACATGCTCATATTCATCGGATCGGAGGACCATCATACATTTGCTACCGGTCCGGGTCGACTCGTATCATCAGAGCTGCGAGGTACCGGTTGAACTCAAATTTCTTAGCGACGGGGGACGGGAGGGGGGGGGGTTGTTTTGCCTCGCTCTCACTTCTTACAGTACGAGACAAGTTACAACGCGTTACGGCGTGAAGCAAGTCTACATCATACCATATCAGCTGGTTTTTCTTGTCTGGAAAAGATTCAACGATGGATCGTTCGGCAGGAATCAAACCTGCGGTCCTTTAATTTGGTTCAGCGCTCTGATGTATTTAGTTATTGGCCACTGGCACAGCTCTTGGAAACTGGACTTTGTAGCTCAGGCCACAAACAAGAGGAGGGGGGTTCCATATCAAGCGAAAGCATAATTAAAGAAAGACAACAGGCAGGGGAGTGAGTTTCTTTTATCCGCAGAACTTCATCACTCATGTAAAGCCAGTAAAGGCTAGTTTCCACTCAGGAAAATTATCCATGGATTGGAACCAAGATATCTATGATTGGAACGGACAAGAAAAAAATGTTTCTTTGTGTTAAAAGTCATTAGTTCCAACCCAGAGCTCACAAGACAAAGAAAAACTTTCTTGTCCGTTCCAATTATCCATGGGGATAATTTTCCTGAGTGGAAACTAGCCTGGGCGATAACTATAATCTATACTTAGTTTCTCGACTCTATCTCAGTTGTGCTTGTGTGGTGATTCTGGTGACTGGAAATAATGTCAAAATGATAAATAACAGAACACTGTCACTGTCTGTTGACACGTGCATGTCTCAGAGGGGGTCTATTCTAGCTGAATTCATATTAGAAGACGGATTTCTGTCTTAGACCGGTTAGACGGGAAACTCGTGTGATAGATTTCCGTCTGGTGTGAATATGAAACAATCAATAAAAGACCCTCCGACCCAGTCTCTTTTCAACGTTCCGGGCTGAAACCCGTCTTGCTTTATCGTCTGATATAAATTTAAGACGAGTTTCCCGTCTGAAACAAGAAACTCGTCTAACTTTCCCGTCGTTCAGACGGGAAAGTTAGACGGAAAAGTTGAGACGAAACTCAGTCGTTGACCGAATTTATATCTGGATGAGTTTCCCGTCTCAGACGAAAATCCATCAGTTCTAATACAGGCTTCTAATATGAATTCTGCTAACCAGAGGGGGTCTATATTATAATAATTAAACAATATATGTAGGCGGTTTTGGCAATAATATAGGGCTAATTGACGTTGCCGTTGGGCTAAAAGCTTATTAAGTGTGACGTATGTGTAATGATAAGTATTTAATTCCGTTGCTTTCAAATTAAATGTCTAGCTCCTAGCACTTGGAAAGGTATAGAACAAATTATCGAGTGAGTCTAACGGTAATTTTCACAACCCACTTAACTTTTTCTCGACATTTTTTGTGACCCTCGACATCCTATACCCTCGCTTTCGACCTATTAATTACCCTCGACCATTGACCAATATATCAAATATAGTCAAACTCATTTTCAAGATATAATAAATAAATTTCTTTATCTTCAAAAATCTACTGCTGCCTTTAGTAAAGATTCAATTTTGGAAAATATATCAACTGAAGCGGAGGGTGGTACGTATATAGCTGGTATAGAGATATATAAGGGACCTGAATTAGGTTTTCTTACCTCTACACATATATAGATTCCAGCAGTGCCTTTTTTAACTATATATCTGGGGGGGGGGGGCAATTGCCCCCCCCAGGGAAAGAATTTCCCCCCCCCCCAGTAAAGCCATTTCTGCCCCCGAAGTGCGAAGCAGAATTGCTCATGATTGCTGTCAGAATTGCAGTTGATTTACTTGATAATGAGATTATGCCCTTCCATAGCCTCCTCCACAGCCATCTTGTGTGTAATTCATATTGTTCTTCACCGAGTATTTCATAATAGCGATAGATTTCATGCAAACAATCCGATAAAATGCTAGCCTTTCCAAGCCTTGCGACTATTTCCTAGCACTCTCCTCTGCAGAGGCGTTGTGTTTTGTTTTGGGAGTTTTATTGCAAAATTTTTTTCTTAAAAATATCAAGTTATATAAAGAGCCCCCCTCCCCTCCCCCAGTCGCCACAAAAACCATTCTCTCAGAAAGGCTAAATCCGTAGAGAAATTGGGGAGGGGGGGGGGGTACACGTTACATGCTCGAAGCTGAAACTGATTAAGTACGTCTCGACTGAGGAAAAAGACGATATACTGGAGGAACTTGATTTGTGAAATCTCGTTAAAGCAGTTGTAGATATGGTTCCAAGAAGAATAGATTTAGTTTAGATTTTTAACTGTTAAATACATGTATGCATCATCATAGCATGAATATTTCTTCTCAGATTTATTCTGTATCGTATGAAAAAGCAACGCAATTTTGAGAATGCGGAAATGGTGTCTCATAGAACCTAAAATGATTTAAATGCAACATTTCTGATCAAAATCACATTGGGATCCCCCCCCCCACATCACAGAGAGGAAATAAGGTGACACTGACCCCTCCTCCTATTTTTCAAGGTGACTTTTCCAATTTATTGAATTCCAAGTAGAAATGTCTGGAAAAATTCATGTCTTCGATGTACTTTATAATCTTCGGAATTCTGCTAGATTTCACCCCCAAAATGCATGAAATCGCAATTCAGGGACCCTAGATTTCAAAATTTTCCGGACCCCGGACCCTCCTAGACGGTCTCACGCCTTCGGCGTGAGGTTCGCCCCCCCCCCACAAAATTAAGGTTTGGCTACGCCACTGGTTATAGCTGTACGATTATAGCTACAAAGGTTGAAGTTATTGTTTAAAGTAAAGTATAGCTGAAGTTAATAAATTAAAGTTTTACAAAATCTCTCTTCAGACTCGCACGTTCGCCCACTGTGGTTCGCCAAACCTCGACGGCTCATATTTTTCGTTCTGCCTTTTTTTCCTGTTTTGCCCCCCCCCCCAGTGAAAATTCCTTAAAAAAGGCACTGATCGTGAACATTTACCAAAAATCCCAGAAGTTTTAATATAATGCAATACTTGATATTGAAAGCTGGGTGAGATAATCCGCGTACTTTCATATTACGCTCTGGTACCACGTATGTACGAGTTGTGTGCTTGATTCACACTGTATTGTCTATGCACAGACACAGTAGTGAGAGTACAACTCAACTCAAGTTGTAAGCAGGTTGCATGCGACGGTTTTAGGCGGCAAAAGTTGTGAAGTGTAAATCGGCCTTTAGACAAATTTCGGCATCGATTGGAACATTTTTATTCGTTGCATGCATTAGTAAGGCTTTCTTTTTTTACTTTTTTCATAAAGGTGGTGTAATAAATTGAACTATACTCGAATAATTGAACTCAACTCGTTTTTAAATCAAAAATAAACTTTTAAAAATTATATATCACTTCTTAACTCGCTCTACTCAGAACTTCCACACAAGACATTAATATTCCATGTGCTCGCAGAATTGCGTGACACACGCGTGGTGTCCACGTAATAATTACGTCATTAATTATAACAGGTGGAAACCTTGTAAACGTTTCTGGAAGGAATTACAGATTCGAATTTGAGCTAAACTGCTTGGAAACAGTTCTCAATTTCAATTCATGTGAATAACGCACTGCGATTTTCCAAGTCACTTCTTACTCCACCCCGTTCTGCCCCCGCACTGTTTGGACAACAGCCCCCCC